CCACCACCACCACAACCACGACGACGACGACGACGACGACGACGACGACGACGACGACGACGGCACAATCTACGTACATTTTGGTCAGCACACGTGCAATCACTGCATGAAGTGCGTTCGATGCCCTTCCAGAGACTTCCGAGGCAAGGCTTTAGCGCTCTGCCCTACATTCACCACGAAGTCTCCGCCACTGCCCGCGGTCACTAGCATGATTTCAGAGGGGTAGTGCCAACGAATTTCCCAAAGCATGATGGGTAAGGTCAGATCATTGGTGGCAGGCTCCAGATTCAGTCGCTCTATTCCCAGGACTGCTTCGGCACCTGGAACTTGTGTGTTCGTGGACAAGTTATTGCTGTGCTTGACCCCAACAATGGTGTCGTTCAGAACGACCCATGATTTTCAAGAGCTCCAGCTTATACATATCCCGCTCAAGCTCCCTGGCCATTTGATGCTAAGCTTCAGCTTCTTTGACTTCAGGAGAAGCGTGAGGAGGACTTCCCAGGCTCCATGGCTCCTTGAGCGCATTGGCAGGTTGGGCCACCAACTGCATAAGGCCGTGGGGCCCTGAATATTCTGCGAGTTGAAAGAAAAACGTCAGTCTTTGTCTTCAGCTTCTCCAGCAGCGGCAATCCAGCTGGGCCGGTATCAAATGATATCAGGACATAGGAACAAATCGCATCATAACATGAGGCAACATCTCAGAGAAGGCTGGCCTTCAAGAGGCAATTAGACCATACTAGACCCAAGCCAGATGGGGCGTGCTCCTAAAGCCTTGAATCCTATGTGTAGGGTCCCATACTCCACCCTCCAAAACCCCCCCAAACCCCTGCCAAACCCATCCTGGCCTGGCTTCTCCCCTCTGTTGTTGCTGCGATTCTTTTTTGTGGTTGCTTTGCTCTCTTGCCTGTTGCATCCCTGTTTGCTGCCGACTGTGCGAACACAGCCACCGCGGCTTTTGCAATGCTGGCAGCTCTATTTGCACACCCCTAGAAAGTAGTTTGCATGTGTTTTCCCATTATCCCTATAGCCCCTGTAACAACCCTATATATCCCCTGTAATAGCCTTATATATCCCCATCTTTATGCTTGCAATCCTACTGACCGATTTACAGTGTCGGAGGCTGGGTGTCAACCTGTTACTGTAACTCTTTATTGACCATTGGAATTCCTTACCACGCCCCTGGTTGTGGTGAAGCTACGTGCTTGGTATCTGCTCTTTGCGCTAGAAGTTAGTAGGACCAGGACTCTTTCGCGCGTGGCAAGCCCTGAATCCATTAGTCTAATTTCTCCCAACGTCCCAAGTGTCTGCTGAGTCATGGACCTTCCGGCCTTAGGCCCCTAAGAGGTCAACCCCAAGCCCTCAACCCTCAAGCGTGGTGGAAGCTGAGGTGCCCGGTCAGCCGACTTTCCGAAGTCAGGAGCTGGAAGTCTGATGTTTGTTTGTTTGGGCCACTGAAGCATCATGCTTATTGGCCAAACCTCGAAACTTCAGAGCTAAGATGAGGTGCAACAAAGACAGATTGGACATTTTGACTCCAACAAAATTCTTGAACATCCTGATTCTTACTCGTGATCATACGCTGTCAGTTACCATGGTCCTACAAGTGCACCAGATCTTCCCTTCACGTCCTAAACGCTAAACTCCAAGCCATAAGCCTCCAGCTCTAAGCCCGAAAAAAGTCTTCGAGGAGCTTCCCATCTGGATTTTGGGGAGTTTTGACAAGGAGGGGCAAAGCTTCCTGGACCAAAAGTTCATCCAGGAAAAGATTCAGGGGATAATGTGTAAGGAAAGGGTTGAGGAAGGAGTTATGTAGCACCTCTGCACCCTAATAGTATGCATGGATGTGTAGGGATTAGGGAGGGACAATTCTCAAATTATAACCAGGCTGCAACCTACAGTGATGCTGTTGCTGTTTATGGATGACAGAAGAGGTTTGTAATTTACCTGTGGGACTGAACTTGCATATGGGGTTGCGCTGTTACGGTAAGAGTGATTTGATCTTCTAGGCCTTTGGCCTTGTTACGGCCGAGGGGGGAGACCCGAAATCCTAAACTATAAACCCTGTTCGACTCGTTACGGCTTGTTGAGGTAGCAGGCTGCGTTGGCTTGCGCTTTGCATGGGCTGACTGGCAGTATTCCTTCAACGAGCCTATTCAGGATGCAGGACATATATGCATACATACACATACACACGCATATAGATACAAGAGGTATGTTGAGGTTCGACAGCTCAAACAACAAGCACTTTCTATGTAGTTGCGAGCTGCTACTTCCTCAGTGCCTTGGGATTGGGAGTGTCCAAGCAGGTGGCCCATGTATTTTGGTTAGGGTTTCCGAGGGGCCTTTATTAATGAGGCGGGTTATGCTTGAACGCCTGGTAGTACATACAAGCGGCTACATGCATTTCGACTGGAATCCGGCCTGAGCCCGGGATCTGAATCTTAGGCGCTTGGGCGTCCTACATTCCTGCAGTTTTCGCCAGTGGCCTGTTGCCGGGATGCGATATATTGTGCTGAGGTAGTGGTAACAGTTTTAGTAGTAATTGTATATGATGCTGATACTAATGGTAATCGTAGCATTAGATTGATGGTACGTGTAACTGGAATTGTAATTCTAATACCAGTAGTAATCGTAATGGCAGTGGTATCTTGAAGCAACTGAGATGCCGCAATGCCCCAACACATAAGCCAAGTCTTAACATCCGGGATGCATGTCAACGAATTCGCTTATACTTGTCAAGAAAATGTATGGTTCCTTTGAAGCCAGATTTGATTACGAGCAGTCGCTACCCTTAAGAAAGAACCCCTGCTTTATTGTGGGTACTGACTACAGAACGTAGCCGCAATATATAGGGTTTAGGGTTTGTGGATATTATCCCCCTACAATATTCTTTGAAAGTGGCGGCAGCAGAAACAACGGTGGTAACTTGCTTCGAGACGCTTGAAGCATCGCAGCATTGGCAATTCTGCTTTCTCTCTCTCTCTCTCTCCCTCCCTTACTCATGGTACACCCTGCAGGTGGTCAGGGCAGGACAACTAGCACTTGTAGGAGGCTTTGAGGGACACTGACGGAAAAATGGAAGATTGGGCGCAAGAACCTGTCATCCAAATGTTGACTAGCTTACCCAAGAAACAGGCAAATTAGCAATAATCCTGACATGATCATGCCGCGTGAATAGGCATTGTTCAGCTATTCTTCAGCTGGTACTACTCGGCTGATATTGTAGTGCTTTTCTGTTGACCAGGGTTTTTGGGTGCGTAGAGAACAGTGACCAGAAGCCGTTGCCAAGGAAGACCTATCTCATCCCCACAGGGGACGCGCAGTGCGCAACCGTCACAAGGCTCGTGGAGGATTACAAGGCCAGATAGCACGCCAAACGGATGGTAGAAACAGTAAGGTAATAAGCGGAAATCACGGGTTCCTCGAAAGTTCAGAGGGGTGTATAAGGAGTGGATCGATTTAGGGTTCAGGCCCTCATGCGTCATGATATCTCGCGATACGGATGCTTTGCTCAGGGTTTGTCATGGTCATAGCAGGGTGCGCAGATGTGGCAGGGCCAGAACTTTGAGCCATAGCCGTCAGGATTGTCGTTTTTTAAATTTCAGTATTGTATGTGGCTACAGCTCAAATCTCAAAGCTCAGGGTATTCTGCCGCACGAAGGGTAGTCATTAGCATATACCTAGACCCTTCACCTATGCACCCTCTATTAGGCTAAGTATCCACTATTAGAGGCCATATCCAAACAGTTTGTCCCTCAAGAGAGCCAGGCCTATGACCCAAGGCTCCCTAGCTGTTCGGGATTATTGACTTCATGAGGGTCAGTATGGATCCCAATATATAGTTTCTTTAAAAAAGAACAGTGCAGCAGTTGAGCAATTTACAATCTTTACATCAAAAGCTTTGCCTAGCAACTCCTGGCATAGAAGCGCTCTAGCCAAGAGATGCGCCCAAATGCAGGCGACTGGCAAGAAGTCTCCTCCTGCAAGCTTCCTTCAGAAGCAGGAGGTGAGGGAGTCGTGAATTCTGACGATTGTGACTGAAACAGCCGTTCCAATTTGGCTAGTGGCTAGAGTCATAATTATCAGATCGGGCATACAGTAGTTGTGTTGCGTTCCTTCCATTTAAGACTTTTATTCATCAGTTGCTCTGAACAGGGAATTCAGCTGACACCTATGGCCCTGGATGTCAGGGTTCCAGAGATGATGTTAATGCTGTCTTTCGGGGCCTTGGGCTTCACGGGATCAAGGCCTGAGGGATGTTTTGTGCTGTATGGGGCTAAAGGCAGTAGGGGTCCCTCTGTTGTATAACTGAAGCCCGTAGCTACAGTCTATGGGACTTGTAACCTTACTTATTCTGATTAGAACCCTTGCCGGCGGGTTCTTGACGCTTTTTTCATTCCTCCCAAACGTGGTTTCTAAAAATTGGGTTTCCTTGAAAAGGAGTAAAGGATTCTTGGGCTCATATTGGGGACCCCAAGTTTTGGAAATTCCGAACGGGGTTGCGCAACAAGCCCACGCCGGAAGATTCTGTCCTGGCGCGCCGCGAAGTGCAAAATGTGGGGTTTCAGTTGGAAAGATGATAAGAGGCAACAGTAGCGAATATACAAAACCACAAGGTCCAATGCGGGAAAATGATAATGAGACGATGACAACATTTCGGATCATACAAGACGGAACAAGGCTTTTGTTGTACGACCCCACATTGGTTTTCCCGAGCACGGCTGCCCTTAGCAACTCGAGGGGTACACGGGGATTCTGGGGATGCCTACTTGGGCTTGTTAAGGCATGGCTTGAGAACACTCACATGGAGCTTGCCAACACTTCAGTTCCATCAGTTGATGGATTTCGAGAACGAAAACCGCAGCGTTTTGGCGTTATGGCCGTGAACCACAGATAGGGTTTCTTTCAAAAGGCGGTGGTTCATAAAGGGAGCTTTGTCAGCATAATGTTACCTTGAAGAGTGTGGACTTATATAAGATCCTCTTCTGTCATGTGTGTCGCTTAGTTACACGTTTGTTAGGGAGCCTGCTTGGTACGAGACAGTCCCTGAAGGTTCCCCAAGCACTGTATTCCTCAAAGCCCAGACCATGAACCTCTTCCAGCCACATGAGAAGAGTCAGGGTGTTTTGCCAGCACGGGGCTCGATCGAAAGCGAGTCCGGATGCAAAACGGAAAAAGTTCAGTCCTCTGCAGTATTCAGAGCCAGGAGCATCAGCTCTCCAACGTGACTTATGCGGAAGTTCGCCGGCATGAGGCCTGATCGCGGACCTCCCACTGTTTAGGATTTAGGGCTTATTCGGTTCTGAGTGGTACAGACATGCTCCCGAGAATGGCTCGAGGTAATTTACTTCCTGAATTGTGGGGAAAACGGATTAAGTTCTGTGGGTTATGACAGGGAAGCTTCTGGGGATGATCAGGCTGTAGGACCTATTAACACAATTTGTCCATCCAGCATCTCGTCAAGGTGTACGTACCCAAAGGGACAACACCAAGAGCCTTGCAACTGTCATTATAGGAAAATACAAGAAAGACCCGGAGGACCTTGAAGGACAGGGCTGGGATGAGGTTAGTGTTGATGGATGAAGCCTTGTGCTGCCGAGTGTCTGGTGGCCTATTGTTTTTTCAGTGCTGTAATTCCCAGGAGTGGATGGCCTCAAGGCGGTGCTTGATATACTTCATGAACAGTATGAGAAGCTCACTCGCCATAAACAAGCACACCATGAGAAGGGCCTGGCCTAGGCGCTTTCCTTGATTTCCTGATGATGTCTTGCGGGTTTCCAGCGTCATCCGTACATGGAAGGGTTTACAGAGTGCATTGTATTTGTTTAGCAAGACATGTTGGTCCGCGGTTCAACCAGTGTGAGCAGGTTTTTGTGATTGGTGATCGAGATTGCAGTGTATCAGGCCACTAAGCTTTTACGGTCATGTAAAAGACACCTCTTGAAAGAGGGGTGAGGGAGCACGCTTGTTGGTGGTGCTTTGTTGGTTCTCTTGTGATTTGTCTTCATGCGCTATCTCGATCGCTAGGAGGATAAATCTTGTCCCTAATGTGGCGGTCAGTGCTGTTTTCTGCTGCATGACATCGCGGCTGTTGAGTTTTTTCCTCGCATGAGCTACTGACGAAGACATCCATCGCTATATCGATCTTCATGATCATCAATCTAGAATAAGCCTACTATAATTGCTACTACTATTATTAGTATTATTACAATTGATACTGCGGCCCGAGTGCGTGCAGTTCTTGCAGGTTGCTTTGTGTAATTGCTCGTGTTCGGCACATTGTAAGTCGGCCTATGCCGTGATGCCTTTTGGTGCCTTTAACTGGGTTACTGTTCAGGAACTTGAACTAAGTTGCTATATTGGGTAAACACTTCATGAAATCCCCATATTCCCCCAGTTTCCAGATAATTCTCCATGTTCTTTTCCTTTTGAGTCTCCATTATAAGGGAACCATATCCCAAAACCCTATACCCTACATACCCTATATGTGGCACTATACCACTACATACGTATTATGGTAACTTAATTTAAGTTCCTTGACAGCAACCCAGTTCAGGGAGGCCTGAAAGGTAGAAAAGAGCTAAGCCCCCCTGGTTTAACCTGCGAAGTATTATCAATATCGTTTAGGTGTACCCTCCACCCAATAATAATGGAAAAGAAAATGGAAGCTACCCTATACAGGGTTAAGGATTTAGGTGGACCCCTCATCATATGCATTCATAGAGGGCCAATACGGGTATCTATTAGAGGGTTTAGGATTTAGGGTGGACCCCCCACCCAGTAATAGTGGCTATAAGGGATAACAGGGATTATACACGGTTTAGGGTTTAGGGTTTAGGGGTTAATAGTAACTATAAGGGATAATAAGGATCATTTTAGAGTCCTCTTATAGTCCTATTATATCTCTATGACATTGTGGGGGGTCCTCCTAATATATCGAGCTTGTTGCTCGCAGTCCCTTCATGGCCACGTTTTCCGTCACTCTACTCATGATGTTTCTTTTCCTGCCTCGCTGGGAGGGGAAGATGTTGCCATCAAGCACTTGCGGTGATGATTGGACCTAACAAGCACGTCAGTGCTACCATAAGATGATCTTATGGCGAGGACCCTATAAATATACCATGACTACCACGGGACCAGGGGATCCTTATCATACCAATATTCTCTTATTGGGTTACCTGTACCCTAAACCCTAAACCCTAAATCATGTTGTCTTTTGCAGGTTGAGACGTCCAATGCACTGCCTCGAACGCTCCGACACATCATACTTCGCCCCTCCAATGCAGTTTCTGGTAGTTTCCACTTATCCCAATAAAACCACTATGATAATATAGCAGTTTCCATTTTCTTTTCAATTCTTCCCTATATAACCCCCATGATAATAGAGCATATAATATAGTAGTTTCCATGTTCTTTTCCGTTATTCTCTATATAGCCCATATACTACCCCTCCACCAGAAGCTCTGGGGGATCCTTCTTTGTCATGGTTGAATTGTTTTTTTCAGTGAGAGCCGATAAGACGTGCCAATGTATTGCTGCATGAACCTGACAGATTCTGTGTACTGCATACCAGAGACAGCAACGCAATCGCAAGGGTCCGCACTATTTCAAGTACCCTGCTGCAAGTTCATACCTTGGACCTTCGCTTGAGCTTCACCTGCCTTTCATAGTGAACATGTCAATGAACATTTCCAAAAACAACCTGCTCATGATGGATGGTAGTTATTGTGCCACCAGGGGCAGGGGTGTAGCCAGTGTCCAGGATCCCAGGAACCTGCTACATCTTCAGGCCCATCTTATCGGAAACACCGCAGCTGAGGAATCCACTACTTCTTCACGCGCGGCGGGTACCAGCAGCTTCAGCCACATTTTGAGAATCATCAGTATCTGCGGTGCGATGACGTAATCTACATTTCGAGACGTTACATTTCCACCGCCGCCCCATCTCCACCGCCCCCTATGTATACTATAAGAAGATACCTTCTTCATGTCTATCACGACTTGCCATGAGATTTTGTAGTCCAGGTTACAATGACCGCCAAATTCATGCGCAGGAGCACAAGGACCCCAAACCTTGAGCTGAGCACCCCGAAGCATGAAGTGTCAAGTCACGACCATGAACTTGCCAGCGGCAATCTTGATCCCTGTCCCAAACCCTTACCACCCTAGCCAAGACCCAAAGCTTTAACAACCCTCATAGACGCCTCATCCCCGACACAAGGCCTTTGGAAGCCCTACACTGCCCAAGCTCATGATCAGATTGTATTGGGGTTATGTAGGGGTTACATTGGGATTATGTAGGGATTATATTGGGATTATGTAGGATGATTATATAGCGTTTATAAATGGATTATATAATGTGATACAGGGATTATATAGGGCTATAAAGGGATTATTTAGGGTTTATATAGTGGGTATGTAGGGATTATATTAGCCCTAGGAAGTTCTTCGGCATCGCTACCTCCGACCCCGGCTGCAAAAGCGGGGGCGGCCGTTCCAATGCTTTTGGCGGCCTGGTTCGATGCAGCCGCTGGCTGAAGCTGGGCTCTTTAAGGCTTTGTTTGAAACATTTTATTATAACATATTATAGTAGTTAATAATCTATTATATAATATTGTAGAATATTATAGTATACAGTACACATTGCAATATATTATAGTCTATTAAGATATTCTATAATATGTTATAATATATTATCTTTGTTTGAAACATCATGCCCAGTGGTGATCAGCGCAGGATGTGCAGTGTAGCAATAAGAGCAGAAGGTCACTACATCTTTTTTGCACAGAGATAGTCTACCGGCTTGGAACTTTTCGGCATTCGTAGCTCATTCCTGAGGGGGCTGAAAAACTCAATGGCGCCTCTTGCGTCTGTGGAACGAAGTTCTCGTTGTCGCATGACGCACGAACGACCTAGAGTGTGTCTGTAAGAGGAGCTGGCATTAGCTACATATGCCCGATAAATTGCGATATGTGCGGTGGAGTTGGTGTTGACCATTGCCACGAGAAATGCTTGTAGTATTGCCTAGCTTGGCACGCGGCCCCTGCCGCAAGGATCTTCTTCACGATCAGAAGCGATTCTCTTTGCGTCCTGCAAGATGGCTTCATACTGTATCTGTTACAAGAAAACCCCACCTCAGGCTCAGTTGCCAGCAAGCGCATTCGTCTCGCTATCAGTCCTAGATCGGCTGAGCAACCAAGGATGTGCGTGTCCTGCTGATGACCAAGCTGGAGTGAAGCCTCGGAATGCCCTCACCGGCTTAAGATATAGTCCCCCTGAAGTAGATGGAATATGTGATATACTGGGATCTTATTATATACCCAAAGCCATATTCTATCTACTTGAGGGGGACTATAAATACTGGCATAGCCTCCGGATGCAAAGACTGGAATCGCCAGGGACCAAAATAGCACTCGCGCGTCTGCGTTTGGGTGCACAGGACCAGCGCAGAGCCGGTGGCACGACCTCATAGATACAGTTACCGTCAAATGTTATTCGGCTGTTCGCATCTGCCATGGGGCTGTTTGCTCACAGTTGCCCGAAGAGTCTTCACTCCTCATACGAAACTTAAACTCATTTGGGAGAATTTGTGGAAGCGAAAAACAACTGTGCAACAGTATGCCCCCTCTGAGGACGGATGCCGCTGATGGTCTTCTCAACGATCGAGATTTGGCCCAGGACCGCGCTCAGTCTGTGGGCTGGGAAGAATCGTAGCAATGACTAGAACCGGCTAAGACAGGCGAAGCAGTACTTCGTGCTGTGTGAGTGTTCAAGTCTGAGCAGCTATGAAAGACACATGCAGGCAGCCTTAGAAATCATGAGTACTCCAGATAGCTATTGGTAGCAGTCGTAGTTGCAATCGTCATCTTCTTGTGCTCAAATTTGCAGCTTCAGTAGAGCCCTGCGTCCCGGAAGCTTGCTGGCATATCAAGCCCATACGGACTTCAGCAGTTTCAAACAAACCGTACAATTATACACCCCCCCCCCCCTAAGCTGCTTCTGCAGCTCTACTTGACATCTTTGTGGGAGGACGGCGGTCCCATGATAATTCCTACACTAGGCGCCTAGTAGTAGGTGGCGGCGGAAGCTGCTGACATTCACAAAGTTTGTTGCTCAAATCCCGACATGAGTCACATGAGGCCACTGACAGTGCTAACGACAGAAAGTGCAGATTGTTGCTTTTAGGTGGCCATTATCCGGCGTGTCATGAGACCGAAGCTCCTGTAAGTGAGTTTTAACAAGGGCAGGGGGTGAACGGGGTTGTGCACCTTGCATGCCAAACCGGAGCATTGCACAGCACCTTGCTGAGAGGCGATGCTGAGGGTGGACAACGCGAAGCACTTAGAATCCGCCTTGGCGGTGCAGTTTCGGACATGCACTCGCCTCCCTCTGGTGATGACCGGTTTTTGTCCTATATCGCAACAATATCCTTTAATACGGGGTGTTGTGACAATGCTCACACCTCTTTTTAAGGCTGAACTTTTTACGGCTGAACTAGTAAGCAGAAAGCTTTGATGCTGCCGGATATTCTGCAGCTTTTGCATGCATGGCCCGGGGCTGACGTCAAGTTGTTGGGATAGGCAGCTGCTTAACTTGACATAACAGCAGTAACGAAGCTTCTAGTTGCGCTACGCTGAAAATGTCGTTGTATCAGCTCATGTCGTTTTGCTTGCGTGCCTGTAGGCTCTACTGCAATCGCACCGAAGGCGATTTGCAACCATCATGGTTCAGAAGCCGGCACCGAGGTCTTGATCCCTTGCATCCTCGAGTACCAAGAAGAGCTTGTCCAAGCCAAGAGGACCGAGTTCTCTTGCATTGCGAAACAAGGCTTAACGTGGCAAAATACGGGGAGGCTTGAGCAGGAAGGTGGAACGCTCGCTTCTCGGGGGCCTGTTCGACATTCCCTCTTGTCACATCTTCACCAGCAGTATATCGTACAATTACCTGCTGTAAATTTCATTTGCACCACGTTGTCCCTGGTAAGATACAGTACTTGGCAGCAACGACAGCTGAGAAAGGACAGCTTCTGCCTGCATTTGCTACATTCTGCTAGATTTTCAAAGAGTGAGGCCAGATTAGGGTTCAGGGTTTAGGGGCCACATTTCCTTACGTACTGCTAGTGTGCAGTGGCCTAGTCATGCATCGTGCTTCACACGCTCTGCAGGTCTGACAGACATTCGGTAGGAGCCTCCGCAACAGGATCCCACTCGTGACTTTTCTCCGTGCTGTGCAGCCTTGCTGCTGTTGCTGCTGCTTCTGCTGCCGCTGCCGCTGCCGCTGCTGCTGCCGCTGCCGCCGCTGCCGCCGCTGCCGCCGCTGCTGCTGCTGCTGCTGCCATCACCGCTACTGCTAATGCTCCCACAGGATCGTGGCGCAGATTCAGCGCCGCTCGCCACAGGCGGCACAACCTCAATTTCAGAGTGCGGAAATGTTTTTAGAAATGCTTTCAGAACTTGCTCTTTGGCCCGCTTGTTCCGAACACAGCCCCGGGCTGCACAGCCTTGGGTATTTGCACACGCTGTCTGAGGGGAAGTAAGCTGAAAGGCAGCTAGCACCGCGAGTGCAACCATGAAGTTCTACCTGCACTTTCGGATTGATGATTATTAATGAATATTATTCTTCATACTTCTTATTGTTATTCATATTAATATCATTACTATTAACGGCAATAGTATTATTCTTGTTTTTACGAGCGGTTCCTTTCTTTGGGCATCCTTGCCTGTTCTCCTTGAGCCTTGCAGGTGTGTGTGATTGCGGTGCTGCTGTTGCCGAAGCCGGTGTTGCTAAACCGAGAGACGAACGAGATTCTCGTAAGGCTGGCCCAAAAGATATCGCTGAAGCTGATGATGTGAGGTGGATGTCAATGGCTGGTTTCCTGGGTTTTTTGCGCAGGATCATGTCACATTGATACATGAGCCGTGCCATGTCTGCATAGAACGTCAGGAAACGCTCAGCATAAACTCCACTTGCGGATGTCTGGTAGTCCGACTCGCAGAGTCATTTGAGACTACACATAGATACAAGAGGGAGCACGCATGTTCACGACCTACCAAGGAACTGAGAGGATGTAATCTTGCTTAGAACATCTTAGAACCATGCATGTCTTACTCATGCAGGCGGCACAACGACCTTCTCGCTGCCGGCGTGGACGACGTTCTGTATGCTCAGCTGCTGAGAGACGTGACGGCTTGGGCCCAGGATACCCCTAGGCTTTCAGCCCTAGTTCATGGTTTCTCCAGGGTAGCTGCCATAATTAGGCTGGCATCTGGAGTAATTTTTGCAAACCTAGAGCCATAGGATATGACCTTCGTGGTGTTGGCAGCGCTTTAGGTTGAGCATTTTGCTACGTCTGGATGGCCATGCGGGGCTTTTGTTGGTCGCTTTTGTCCCCATGCACAGACTGAACTCATGGGATTCGCAGTTCTAACAGCTAGCCAAAAGGTGAGGTGCATGGGAGAGCAGACAGCATGGCCTTCTCGAAGCATTGCCATGCACGACCGTTGGCTGATATGCTCTTGCTTCTTGTAGCTCGCATGTGGCAGGGCCAGCATGTGACATGCGCATGTGTGCCAAAAAAAGCAGGCCCCAGACATTCATATCATGCAGGAGCGGTACCACTAGCTCTACAATCTGTCACCCCGCAGACTGACGCTGGAAGGGCATGTGATACTTGCGGCACGGCTTTCATCAGCTTGTAAGCTCGACACGAGAGCGCATGCGAAGAGTGCGCATGTGACTTTATCGCAGTTTCGGGGGTCCCAATTTGACACGTACTCCCCACTCATACCTCTCAAAACAAACGCCCTCCTCAGAAACCCCCCTCCGAAAGTGGGCCTTGACCGATCACAGGCACTGAAGCGCGCCATCCACCTCTCGCGGACCATGTGGAAAACGTGCTCCTTGCGAAGCTTGTTTATACTGGATAACAGACACACACGAGCTATCCCCAAGCAAACAGCGATGCTTTTTGTTCGCAGTCATTTTAAGGGTGTAGTTGTCGAGGTTGCAGGAGACCCAGGGGCAACAAACGCTAGACTCCAGACCCAAGTCCTGCGTTTTGTCGTGAGCATTGCAGATGCACCAGCTCCGTTTCCGCTACTTCGCATATTCCTTGCAGGGCCTGGATACTTGTCTTTCATATCTCCCCACAATACCAAGTCCTTTACTTCGGGATGCCCATGCTGAATGCATCCGCATGTCATAGAACCCCTCGACTTAACTGCGGTTAGCTAGGAATGAAAGAATGGATCCTTATAGTAGTCCCTATATGAGCCACAGTCAATACTCGGTTGTAAGGAATTTTGCATGCGGTGGACATGTCGAGCAATCACAGTTTGGGCACAAAGCCCATGTAAAGCGACGGGACCACCTGAAAAGCGACACCCCCTTCTTGGCGTCCATTAGCTTATA